ACTTGGTACATAAAATACTATTTTCTTTATCAAATAAAACTTCTTCTAGCTTCTATTTCTTCTAGGTCAAGCCCTCTGGTCTATAATCAAAGAATTATCTAAAAACAAACGCGCGGAACAAACCAAACATAAACGTCCACAACAAAACAAGATATAAATTTGCCCATTATACTGTTTTACACACACCGAATATTACAACGAGTGTATCCTGGTAGATAATAGACTATTCGGCATCGTTTTATTAATCTATATGGAGTGACTGCGTCGTTTGTCATTTGTGTACGCAGTCTACAGCATCTCGGGCCGCCCGGCTTTGCTTATATTCACAATAACTAGGCGCTTTTGTGGGAACAACTATTATGTCCTCGTGCGGTGCTCACCTGCGAAAGTACACGTATGACGATGCCGTGTGCGGCGTGTACTTGTATGACGATACTAAATGCTTGTCAGTGCTATTTATTATCCCGTCTTTTATACTTTACTCGATGCCGTACTGCTATCAATACATATACTTCATGTTGCGCATAGAGGTTCCCGATTTCCCTAGCATTCTCAATTGCAATCTTAAGAACCGAATTATTGAGCAGCATTAAATTATTTTTATCCCATAATACCGACATAGGTAATACGAGATGCATTATGTGCAGATATTTTAAGTTTTCTCTAATGTTGATACTTCAGACGGTATAATGTGTGTTCAATCCATAATGCGGCATTTATTTGCCCAAAGCCGATGCCGCAGAATTCGCAGCCTTTTAATTGTAGGCGTTGTTGTAATTATATTTTAATAGTCGTCTCGCGTAATGGCCGTACATAAAATTATAATGCGGATTGTGTTCTTCCAGTGTTTTCGCGGCTTTTCATACCGGCGCGCAATATTTGTGTATTTTTATTGTCGATTTAATTTAAGATTACGTTAAATTACCACGCATGTACCGCCATCTACACGCAATACTAGATACAATAGAATGAAACAATGTTTCATGTAAGCACCTATGTAAATTATTATTTAAATAAAATTTTAAAATGTAAATTATACGAATCGACCCCTTTTCTGTTTATAGTGTCGGATTGCGTGACTTGAAGCTCGAGCGAATGCGCGGCAAATTAGTGGATGATGTGCAGGAGGAGATTCGAAACAAAGAAACGATAATGAAGGCCGCATGAGAACGATGCGAAATTAGCAATGATAATTTTTGCAGATTATTACGAAAACGCGTGCTCGCCGCCGCCGCATATATATGCATGCGGATTTATTTCGTTAGCAGAGGCATATAATCAATGAAATCAGTTAAACGCTTAAACGCCGCAGACACAGCCAAAACGGCGAAGAGCTGCGCGCTGTATCATTTTATAAATGGCGGCACAGTTTTGCATTTTCAGTCGCTCGAGGTGAGATCGTGCCCGCCACAGACCAAGAGGTTAATTCACATTTACAAATCTAATTTTAAACGTGTTATGTAAATATGTAGTTTAAACAATTTCGCCGCAAATTAACCGAAAATATTTTCGCAACACACAAAAAGTTCATAATGGTCATTAAAATCATATTTTAAGCGCATATTTATTACCTCGTTAATTTTGTACTGTAACATATTAATTTTTGGCGAATTTATCATACATGTCCTGCTTAACTCAAAGGATGCGCCCTTGTGTTGCAAATTAGTGAGTGAGTGAGCAATTTATTAATGGTCGTGAAATTTTTCAAAAAAAACCTCCAGCAGATGTTCGACGCTTCTGACAGCGCTTGCGGTTTGGATTTGAATGGTATTAAACGTTTATGCACGTCGATGGTAATCGATGATGTTTTCGGGGCAACGAGCAAACTGTTAAAGACAATTAACGAATAGAGCTCGCGACCACCCAATTTAACCCACTTTTTACGACTGTGTACGGATTATTTCCATAATGTGAGCAGTTCGGACAAAAAAAACCGCCGAACTTGTTCACGATACCCTTTATTGTTTTTATTGCCAGTTAGGTCTTAGATTTATGAAGATGGAAATCGGACGGAATTTGCTCAAATTAAAGAAGCCAATTTATTTGACATTTAACTACTACAAATGTCGACTTGATTATTTCGATTTTATTGCTAAGAAAATGACGCTCATTTCCTTCATTCTCGGATATCATCCATTCCAAAGACTTTTAATTGGTAAGAAATTTAATCATACTAGTTATTAAGTAGTATTTTACGTGCAAGTTGAATATAATACTTTATTCACCAACAAAATATTCAATTTACAAACGAGAATAAAGCAAATAAAATGAATTAGTAATAGTAGTACCTATTTGCTGATGCAATTAATAAGTAATACACGATATTAGAATTATTGATAGGTCTGGCGCGTGTGTCCATTTATAACTGAAGTAATTAAATAACTGTTACAAGATTTCAAGCGATCAGATACGGGACTACTGTGAATGAAACGCAGAGTGCGCATTTTCCGCTGCCGGGCGCACGTTTAATAAATAAATCGAGCGCAGCAAAGTGATTAATAACCAGAGGTAATTCACTTAATGAAATATCTCGCCTACACCTACAGCCCGCAAAAGCAATTTGAAAGTAAATTAAACGCGAGGCCGTATTCAATGCTTCCATATTTCAGTTGGTGCATTTTTCACACTCCGGAGCAGCAATGAAGATAAAGCCATCTAATAGCATTAATTAACATCTAAACTTCTATACGCACATTATAATGATGTTGTGAGTGGCGATTTGTGATGAAGAGATAGTAAAATGCAAACGGTAACTGTTTTGTGTAAAAAATTTAAAAACAGAAGCATCACTGGTAGCAGGTTGGTAGCAGGTAGACGAGAAGCGCTTAACATCGATTCGCAAATCGTAACGAATGTACTCGCGTACAAGAGGAGAGCACTTGCACACGTTTATTATTATACGTGCGCATTTACTTATAGGAGCCACCCGAACAATCGGGGGTATCGAGAGAGTATGTTATTATAAACGGATCGAATATGATTACAAGTCCTTCATGTCTGCAATGTATTTTATATAAAGTGATAAAAAATATTAAAATAAAACTATTATTCTAAAACATAATAGCTTATAATTTTGCAACCAGTTATACAAATAAAAATAATATAAGTGTATTAAGTTGCCTATCTAATAATTTATTAAATTTATTTTTTTAAATAAAATTTTCATATTTATCGAATCATTCAGTATATATTGAAGATGCTGTGGTCCGGTCTTGAAAACAAAACAAAAGCAAACGACGCAGACGAACGGAGGTCATGCCACCGGACATCGCACACCTACATAAGAGCCGAAGACCTGTAATCAAGCGGATCGCGCGTACGAACGGTAAGTACAACATGACCGCATGTATATCATCATCGGGCGCTCGTGGGTCGCACTTGTGGCGCGCGCTTTTTTCGTCCTTTTCGCGCAAAATTTCGGACATGCTCCACGTCGTCGGCGGGCTCACGCTGTAATGAAACGGGCGATCGAATGGAGCGAGCGTAAGCACCAATTTGAAATCGCGCGGCCGCGCCGGGCATCGATCAAATTAAACCACATCTCCCCGATATACTCAAAGATGTTCACTTTTTTTATACTCGACTATACTCGAGCGCGATGGTTGCCGTAAGATATGCGCGCGCGTTATCTACAAATTATAATTCAATACGGCGTGCACGCGTTGATTTATACACAAACGAAATGTTGCAGATCGCCGATATGTGGGAAGCGTTTTCGAAGGCGAATTTTTCGGTATGGGCTTTTATTGACGCTCGCGGAACGGTATTGTACGGCACGCGAAAGCGCACCGAGTGCGTAATTTGCATAAATTACGCCTTACCGATTTACATTTAATATGTGCGCGTAAGAGATGCGCATGATCGGTACGAATTTATCTCCGGGCATCGATCGAGTTTGCTAGTCTAGTTACACAAGATTCTTTTCGATTTTGAAAACATGTCTTCTGGGTAAACAAATTATTTATCGAGCGCACTAAAATTGGCGTTTAATTTAAACATCAGCCTCGGAGAACGTGTATAATATGACGATTAAATTACAACAAATTAAATTAAAGCCGCAAACAGTAAAGGCTAAACTTGGTTATGTTATGAGCTTCAAAACATCATCGGTAAATACCTATTATTAAATATTATAACCAGCATTTTGAAATTTTTTAAAATATCAAAGAATTTAAATCGCTAAAAAATGATTTTCTAAGAAATTTTATTCGATGACTAAAATTATAATATTCAGCAAGGAAAATTTGCATGCCGGATAATAGTAGTGGTTAAAATAGATGAAATAGGAAATTTTAAATTTAAGAAAAACTCTGGAGCACAAACTCGCCTCATCTTAATTAGGCTGCGATGAACAACCGGTTAAAGTTAATAAATAAATGTTTACAACTATAAAGACTCCGGGATGCATTTTAATTAGTGCGCCGCCGATGAGCGCGAACGTAAAATGTGAGGAATATGTTAATAATTGGAATTTTTGTGTGTGATTTAGTGCGAAGTGGGGCATCGGCAGGTCTAGAGGCCCCCAATGGTGCCCGCCGCTGCAGGAGACGGCGCTCGAGAAGAAGTGTGCATGTGCACGAAGCACAAGCGGTACATTCATTATCTATTGCACTTTTTAACGCTGTGTTTTGGTATAGTCGCACACTGAATACCAAACTTTATAAAATTTGTATTTTGTACCTTTTAGAAACAAAAACGAATTATGCAACATCCGAAAATCATTAGTCACTGATAAGTCTAACCTATTTCCATAATCTTGTGAAATTGCAATTGTTGGTTTGAATGCAATAAGATTGATAAATTTACACCGGTTTGAAAGCAAGTGACAGTACCAATATTACCCTTCTTAGTTGCACGTGCACAAATTTGTATTGCAATTATGTACTGATTAATATCGCTCATTTATTTGCGATTGTTTACGCTCAAATTAAAAGAGAGCGTTCGACCGCACGACCACACGTATCACAGACAGGAGATATAATAAATGATAAATTCATTACCTTTTTTCTTCGCGTTGCGGCACGAAAAAGGCACGTCTGAGTAACCACCCACGGACAGTACGAAATCAATCGCTACCTGAAAGCAAAAAACTTTAATTATTGTTTGCACTTTTACACATTCGCCAGACATTATTCATCACATCATTTGTCCCAGTTAGCAGTATCTAAAACCTAGCACCGCCTAAGTTAACAGGTGTTTAGAGATATCAAATTTTACTAATATCCCGAAAGCGAAAGAAAAGTTCATTTGTCGATCGAGTTGTAGAGTGTGGTCGAGAGTGAAGTACCTGGATTTGACAGGCCGTTTAATTGGTAATTAAGCGAGAGAGCGAAAGAGATGCGCAGGTGGCAACGCGTGTAAAGCACCTGAAGGGGCGGCTCACCTTGCGCCCGAGGCACCTGCTACACAAATCCACATCGACCGCATCCAACCACCTATGACCAACACTCCAGCAACAGCGCACCTCTAACTCGCCTGCCTGTGGGTAACTAATACTTTTCAGTAGATGTCCACGGAGAGTTGAAAGGTAGGTGGTGCACCATTCGTATCCGAAAACAGTCAAAATTTTGAGGCTTTCCTGACGCGCTCGGCTGCGCGCCTAATCGTCCGATGGTTAACTAAACGCAACATTTAGTCGCTTCTCCCACAAACCCATGACCCAAGAAAAAAGGGGCACCGATTAAAAGGACGCATTATACCCATATAAATTCGAGCAATCATAAAAAATTATGAAAACCTCGATGGGTAAACACTCGCATTCTTTGGCTAATGGAGCAATTGTGATCCAGTCAAAATATGTACACTGTCATGACTGCCAAGACACTTTTAGGTAGATACCTAAACCTAAGTAAGGAGATTTAATCTGAATCAATGAATAAACATTTAACATCAAAACTTGACCACACTCAGGTCAAGATGAAAGAAATTTCCGTTTGTAAATCATCATAAATTAATATAGACTCAAGTTGCCAATAGGCAATTGGTAATCTAAGCATCCTGCAAAAGCCTGCAACCAATCAGGAAACTTATGATGCGCTCCCGAGTGAAACCGCAGCGCATATTATAAATAATGCACGCGTATGATTCAGAAACGTAATAAATTCACTAGCGCAATGGATTGTCTCGTAATTTATGGCTTACAGTTATCAGCTAATTTTACTACCCATGCTGCAATCAGTCTCAATGCACTAGTACATAACCACATATACCTAACCATTTTTTTTTCAAACAGAAAAATTCTAAAGCTCGCTGTATGGGTAATTATTTATTATATCAATTATGATGCGCACTGGTGCACCACAAAATGAACGTAAAAATTTACATCTGAAATGCTGCAGCTTATTAAACGCAATTAAATAATATATTAATCAACCTAGGTGGCGCGCTTAAACAAGCATAAAGAAAGTGATGAAATGCATATTAACCGCGTCGAGTAATTTGAATACTGTGCCGAAACACGGAACGACACAGCAGGTTATCACAACGATAAACGACAATCAAGCGTAAATGAATAATTATTTCAGCAAAAAAATTAATTAAACTCTTTAACTCTTCTTGAATTCATATTTATTTTGCCCGTATGCAAAATACACCCGCAGCAATCATTCATTATTCATTTCGCAAAAAAATCGATTCAATTGAACCTTCATTATTTATCTCGCACAAATTGCAATATGAAAATATTATATATGTAATTGTATAATTTGTTGCGGCTCGTGTATTTTTAGCAGTAACAAGAAGGAAAACATTCGTAAACGTATAAAATGCATAAAATACATCATAAAACTATTCGCTTGAAACCAATCGTTCCATGAAAAGTGTACTTTCAAACTGACTCATAGACATACCCTAAAATAAAACAAATAAAATTACATACAGCAGGTGTATGACTCAATTTAAGATATCTAAATGCTTGATTAAACGTAATAAATTATTTTTAAATAATCTAGAAAATCAGGAAATATTAATTGATATCTCACGGTAATTAAATCATTGCCTAGTATTGGTTTAAGAAGTTTATAATTTTATTAGTTTTCGCTTGTCACCGGAAGTGCCATAATAGTTATAGACAGCAACATTTATATATCGTACCTACGCGATCGTTAATCAAAAATTATGCATTAAATGACTAAAGTAATAAAGGACATAATAAAATCATGTTAATATTATATGAAGAGAAATAATTGATGTGCTTAAATCGTTGAACTAAGTTAGGCAATTAATTTAACATGTGAAATAAGTTGCATAACTTTATGCGCAGTTGCACCTAACCAAGTTTCTATTCTAATGCTTACTATTCACGGATTTAAATTTTATACATTTCGTCAGCGTCCGTATAAAGGTAGATCGAAGATTGATGCGCAAATCCCCGGCAGCATTCCATCAGTAAACAGATAGCCGGCGTGCCACGATAAATAAGCACTTAATATTTATCGATACAATTGTTCGTCGGACACAACACATTTTGTCCCCTCGAAAACAAAGCCCGCGAGCATAAGCGATCGAATTGATAGGCAGATATGAGTGGTGATCGATCTTATTCCAGCCTGATGCCTGCCTCTGCGCTTTCAATGCCGCGGACGCGCCGAGTTTATAACCCGCAAGTAAACAATTGGACAGGCGACAGTCGTATGGAGGAGAAAGCATTATTTATACTCCGGTGTTTTCAAACACAACACATACACCAACATACACGACCCAGCCAACAAACGCACCAAAGCGGCAAGAAGCTGCGGTAGCATTGCGCTATCACTTCGATGCCGGCGAGCGTTTCGCGTTTCTTGCATAAGCCGCGCCGCGCTTCCCGTTTATTTGACAAAAGCTCAAACTTATTGCATGCTTTAAAACAATAGACTTTAGTGCATAGTTGTTGCACGGCACCGCGCCGAAACTCAGCGCGCTATAGTTGGACAAGCACATATCTTGTACTTGAACACTTTTAACTTATTTTATGCATCTGCTTATAGAGGGTATTGCAAAAAGACGGATAGATATTAATAAATGTAATAAATGAAGACATTCAGTGATGAAGATCGCAGAAAAACAAATTACGGACCGTTAGCAAGCAAACGATAAATAGTAACAAGCGATTGGTTATTAGGTATGCAACATTTTAGGATTTATAAACACGGAAACATCTCGTTCGGAATATCACACATGAATGAATTTCGCCCGTACACGCGCGCGCGGTGCCATAAAGTTTATGCGCATGAGCCGGCAAAGCAAGCGCGCCGCCGATACAGTCATCAGGTCGGAAACGCCGCTCAAGAAAGAAAATAGTTTTTCATGTAATCCGACGTGCACCACAAGGGATCGGTGCGCTGGCACATTCTACAGCTATAAATCCAGAAACGGTAGGCGCTCTTCTACGTCCAAAGCGCACTCACCTGCCGCGCGCGACTTACAGATCGCATTAAAACGGTAATAAATGAACGTTTTGATTACGCCGGCGATTTTAATTGTTGCATATAATTTGCGCGCTCCTTCCTCATTTCTGCGCATTTCACCCTTGGCTGGTTTCTAATCTTTTAAGCCAAACGTCCACCTCACATAAATTATCTGACTTTGTCGCGCGCGCGTGCAAACAAATTTGTTTCCATTTCCATGAGGTAATTGCTTTTGTTCCCACAAGTTAATTAAATCGCAAATCTTAATTTCCCTGTCAATTTTATATTTTACTCGAACACTCAGTGTATGTGTTAAATGCTCAAAACAAAGTCAAACTTAAACAGTCAACTAGCAATGGTTACCAGTATTGTTGCACTGATAAAACTTCAAAGTTGGGATAAGCGTTAGCAGCACGAAGAGGACGACAAGTGATTTACTGTTTCGGTGCGTCGATTCCATTCAAAACACGACTTGCACTGCCGCCTGCTCTGATTGTTCCCGATGCATCTTCTTACTGGTATCTGATTAACATAAACCAACGTCGTTCACACCGTTTCAATGCCTCCGAACACTTGTTAAAACTGATGTCCTTTCTAAGCTCCTTAAACACACTTTTTTGTTTCATCAAACAAACTTTAAAACGATTAGGAATATCTATGTTTGCCTACTATTTTATAGACGCTGAAAATTTAAACTTAAATTAAAAGTAAAACTCGTTAATTGCATTCCGATACATCGATACGTCTATAATTGGATTTGAAGTCGCAAGAATTGAGGCCGGCAAATGTCTTCTGTCTTTCCATATATAGCATAATCAAGTTTTCAATGAATCGCCCAGATTTTGAGTTTGATTTGTGATTGATTGATTGATTGATGGCCAAACTGGTGGTTTCTAGACGAGTCGCAATGTGTAGACGACAATTTCAATGTGCTGTGAAGTTTTTTTTCATGCTTTCGAATCAATTACGCAGTTAATTTTCCATCGAAAATTTGTTTCCATTCAGCTGCCAGCGAAAAGATTCAATTTTTAAACTGTTTATAAATATATACAGTTAAACCCATATAGGTATGCTTGTTGTGTGTGCGCGTGTAGATGGCAATGATTTATTCATAAAAAATAAAGAAAAATCGTGTTCGATCAGTGATTCCCCAACTCACGCAGCGCGACGCCCCGCCATTTAAATACTTACCACCCGCCCTCGCTCCCGTTTTGTTCCATCGTTCTAAATCGCCTGAACATTTATCCATGCATACATATGTATAGCAACTCGATGCTGTGGGAGCATTTTCTAACCGATGGTCTTTAATTGAAGCAAACGAACGGCGCGCAGGCGAGCGCCGTTCAAAGATTAATGCATTTGTCAAAAAGACTTATTGCCAATGAATTCGTAATTAAACGACAACCTATGTGCCACTATCTTTTTTACCATCCGTGCACGCCGAGGAGCTGGGGAATGCATGCATGCGTCGGGAGTCGCGCGCGCGCGAGATTATTTGTTGTTTCGGTTCGCTAGCAGCAGCCACACGGTGCTACTTAGGTACGACCCGGCCGGCCTGTTGGTAGATCGATTTTCGATAGGCCCGTTACGATACATATTCATGCGTGGCTTTTAAAACTGACGGATGGCTTGGATTTGCGCTGCGATCCAGAGACGCGTCTAAAGTCGCCGCAAAGCAATGCAATGCGTTAAGTTAAAGTCAAGTAGCGAAAAGATAAACGCCGCAAATATTCTCTGCAATTGCCATGTCAAAGGCAAAGTGGTTTATTGTCGGCCCAGACTGCTTCACGCGCGCAAAAAATAAAGATGTCTATTGTCATAAATACATTTTAGCATAACAAATAAAAATATGATTTTAAACGTTTTTCTTCCGATAAAACTGATTTTTCATCAACGCACACATTTTATTTCGTTAGAAATGCATTTTAAGTGTCTTCCCGTGTGCAAGCACGTGTAAAATGAAAATCACAACTTATTAATACAATTAAACCGAGCGTTATTCTTATCATCCAGACGCGGCGGTGTCGGCGGCGAGCTGAAAGTAAGAATTAGTAACTAGTAACTAGAAATTACACTTAGCTCGTGGGCTCGTGCGCTTCAATTAAAGACCGCGGCCACGACTACGAGTGTAATTGCTTTTTACGCCGCGATTTCCTTTCCGCGCGCCGACACCGTCCATAATGTCCATTTGTACTCACCGCCCGGCCGATGTGTGGTGTGTGCGCGCGTGTGATTCATTACGATTTGCGCGCGCGGGGCCTGAATTACGCCCGGCGCGGCGTAAGTGAGTAAATTAATTAGCGGCGCGCGCGCACTTTTAATCAGCCGCGTATATTCGCGAGGTGCACACACAATCGCAACACACGCAAAAATTACGCAGTCACTCATACATATGCAGCGAGTACGGCGAATCGTTTTAATTGAGCCGCGTGCGGCGGAAATTAACCTAACACTATAGATTTTTCATTAATCATTCATTTTTATTGGAAGTGATACTTATTTGTGTACAAAGGCTTTAATGTTGCATACACAGCGAATAATTTCAAAAGAAAAAAGATTTTATTTTAGAATTTGCGCATTGAATTTGCATTTTTTGTAAACAGAATTCAAAAAAATAAAAAATAGTTCATAATTTTTAAATATGCGCTTAATATAACTTTTTACTCAATGGATTAGTCGATGTGCATTAAAATATTCCACAGATGATATTTTTTGTGCTTTAAAATAACATTGTGACCATTTTTTAGCCATTATAGATAGCACTATAAATCATGATCTTGATTTTTAATACGATATCTAAAGTGTGTAACGATACCCCTTTACCAGCACTCACGACGTGTGAGCAGGTGATGATACGATTCTAGATTAAAAGCGCTCATCGATCAAATTGGTTTATAATCGAAGAAATCGCTTTGTAGTGGTGTTGACGTCAACCCTCTCACCTTTCATCCCTTTGATCAACCAATTAACACACTTAAGAAACATACATTATTATTAGACCGTCAAGTGTAGTAAAAACAGAATCTTACATAAAACATCGTAATTTCATGTATTTACGGCACGTAAAATCCAAAATGACAATTTCATCTCAACACACCTACTTACACCGATGTTTTACACCTCACAGCAAAGCGAATTCGTACTTTCTAGACATAATTCTTGCAAAATAAATCATTCGCAATTTATTTCTGTTTTTAACATAAATTGCGCGCCTCTGAACGGTTATAATAAGGAACTGCACGTTTCCTGGCCATCGTGCACAGTAAAACTTTTATTTAGATATCCACACGTCCTCGTTGGAGTGAGAAGGAAGCGTCCGCTGGTGCGGAAAACACATGCATTGTGTAGTGAGTTCACGCGTTTTCGTGTAACCTATGTAATTATAATGAAATTACCCGATGATATCGGCAGGTAAATGCGTCCGACGCGTGCGCTACTTGATTTATGGCTTAATTATATTTAATCGATTTTTATGGCAAAACGGTTATCGACGCACCAGCAACCAACGAAAAAGTCGCACACGTTTATTGCTAATAATAATCTCCGGGTATAATTATGATAAATTCGAATTTGCCTAATATGGCAGCGACACACACGCGCGTATGAATCTTCGCACGCGATAAAAACAATTTGCAGACAAGCACACGCATTGAAACTACGCACAAAATTATAATGGTGTTGCTCAATAAGTAGCAATTGAGTATGTTCTAGCTGTTCGCTACCGCGTTTGTTTCGATGATAATTTATTGCGAAAATAAAACGGCTTTCTCTATTTTCTCATCGTGCGTTAGACGACGCATGAATATGTTTTAAAGTCTCTGACTGGAAACGCTAGAAGTTTGAGTCGTGGGCGCGCGCCTCGTAAAAACCACCTGCTGCACACGGTAAGTGATATTAAGTACGAAAATATCGATGTCAATAGTAAGTAAGTTAGTTAAACGTGCGTATGCGATTAAGTGTCTGAGATAAAAGCAATAAACATGTCATTGAGTAATCGACAAAAGCATTATAAAGACGTCGTGACATTTATATTTTGTGCATATAGATACAAAATATTCGTTTTCGAAACACACACGCTCCGCGCGCCGCACAGAAAAAAGAAAACAAACTAGTTTTACAAATTTCAAAGTTTAAACTCCTATCCAATTTCATACGGAAAAAGTGTACAAAAGCATTAATTATTTATTATATTTTCGATTAAAGCAATCGCTGTAATTACAATAATTACATTATTGTTCGTAAATTAAGTGTGTCGAGTCGTTGCGATGATGATTAATAACATTAAATTCGCTTATTTCAGCGATTGCGATTTCCACCGGCTCTAACATGGATATAATAATGAAATAATAACTGGAAAGTTAAGATTAAATTAGTTTCGCATTCGATCGTACTCATTTACTGTTCATTTTTAGCAAGATATAATATTCGGAATGTCATTAAATTAATTTTAAATAATTAACGCACAATTCTTATAAAATCAAAAGCAAAAAACGTATTATAACGAAATAAAATGCTAGTTTACCAATGAAGTATTATTACAGACATAAAACGTTTTCGATAAATTTCTACTAATGATTATTGCATCTTTTATACGTTATGAAATCACCCCGCTGCAATATTTACGATAATCGTCTTTGAAAACTAATTTTTATTAAGTCGTCAATGCGTGAATACCCCTAGCTACGAAGTCTCAAAAATTAAAAGACAGTTACTTAAAAAGTTATAAGTTAACTTCGCTTATCGCTGCTCAACAAAGGTGCAAGATGTTAGGCAGGTCAATCAAGGTGTAATGCTCGCGCGCGTATCCGTCCCGAAAGCACCGTTTAATTAAGTTTTATCAACGCACGGCGCCTCTTTATCAAGCACAACCCTATTACGGAACCAGCCGACCGTTTTGAGGAACGCAACGGAGATTAGATAATGCTGCACTGTGCACACTAATGTCTATCATGTCATATCTTATTCAAAAAGAGAAGAAAAAAAACACTGTAGCGAAAGGAAATTAACAAACCGTTGGAACTCCGTGGTCCTTTTGAAAGGTCCAGGTCGAAACAGTGATAGATTATTCGGTCTTTTTGTCTTTTTTCTTTTGGGGTTAGAGGTAGAAATCGGTAGGCACGTGCTCGATATTTCAGTTCGTGCCGAAAAGGCGCTTGGACGATAAGCTACGCTCGTTGGGAATGCTAATAACAATTTCTCCTCTTATTTATTATCAACCGTTTCTTTATTTCGTGCATATACAGTGTGTTATTTTTAAGAAAGGACCAATAATTCAAAACTCAATTTTTGCCCAGAGTGTTTTGCCGTTTTGCCTGATTTAGTTGATGCACTCTTTCACGAATTGATTTTATTAGCTGCCCCGCAAAGGCAGATAATTGACATTGATGTAATGTTATTACCGGCGCAGTTTTTATAAACGGCGCGGACGCGGCACATGCAAATCGTTAAAACAGTGATTAAATTCAGATCCACAATAAACTCGAGCGCGAGCACCGGCGGCGCAAAAGTGTGAATGAAGATGGTGGCAACATAGTTGTATGAACGAACGAACACAACGCGCAAACACGAAATTCGTGTGTGTTTACCTTCGTCTTCGCGAGCGGCGGCAGCTGGTTGCCCGAAAGGACAAACGACTTCGTGTGTTGTGCGCGGTAGCCGCGCGAGCGGCACGCACTTTTAGAATTGGCATGCTCGAATTGTTGCACACCCGAGACGCGCACGCATACCGAGAAGTTATTAAAATAAATCATAGATAATATTAGTGTCACACCGGCTGTTGTAAAAAGATTAAACGCCCCACGGCGGTTAGTTATGCACCTTAACGATCCAAATAGACGCAAGGCGCTTGCGCATGCAACTAAATAGGTGCTTATTAATTCCGGACTTGGTCTGTATAAATATCCTTTTGTGAGTTCATTGTTTTTTGCGTGAAATTCCATTCACAACGGGGCTGAACTATTTAAAACACTTACCGAAACATGTTGGGAGGTTGAACGAGCGAAAACCGAGCGCCGAGCCTGAAATTAAACGAAAAAAATCAATCTAAGGCATTTTAAGTAAAATAAGTTGTAAAATAATGAAAAACATGCCCAAAGTATTATTTTACCGAATAAAAAGTTCCCATAATGTACGAAAAGGCATGTTTATTTAATGCTGCTTTTTTATAACCAGTTTATGTGGTTTATATCTTCAATTCATCAATACGCATCTAGATAATTCAGGTTTTAATGATACACCGTATACAATCCGTGTACGATCCGTGTAGGATCCGATGTAGTGTTTATTCGAACACCGAGAGAATCGATTGTAATCTGGTTAACAAATCAAGCGTCCGCAAATAAGCAGCGCACTCGATAGAAAGAAAAATTTATCGCCACGACCGTGCCGAAATGCGCGCCGCGCGGCGCGTCGTGTCCGCCGGTAAACAAATAAGAAGCACGTAAGCACATAAAAAGCGCGCCGCGAAGAGGCGAAATCGCGTGATAAAAAAGGGTAACAATATATTGAGGCTATAATTAGCGTTTTATGCCCGACGACTAGCCGCACAAATTATTTCTTTCTCTCCACCAAGTCAATGTGTAACGTGTGAAACGCCGCACAACTCTACAAAGTGTAATAATGATTTAGTGCGCGTTTTACACTTTACGAATGCGTATTATTTGAAATGTATCATTTGCTTCGCGTATCTGTAACGAATGCCGAAAATAAACACACGTACACGCCGGTTTTTTTCGGCGGTGGCATTAGCTACAGTTATTTATTTGGTTATTATGGTAACTACGTTTCATTACCATTACCACACATCCTCTGCGATTAGAGATCGATAGATGATGAGTTTGTTTTAATGTGGGAACTTATTGAAATGAAAGACAGAAAGAAAGAAATCAAAGAAATGACTTGAAACGTTCGAAAAAAAAACATTTTCATATCTAATTTCGCTACCGTGTCCAGCGCAAAAAGAAAAAGTGCCCGTGATGAAAAACGCAAATTCTCGCGCAGTTACCCACCAAACCTATAATTTACGACGTTCCTCACCGGCTGCTGCACGCTCGATAAGAGACGTTTGTGAGTTGGCGTTGCAGCAATTTCAACACGGTTGACAAGCGCGCTGCAGAGCTTCTGGGATGCAATTAAATCAATCAATACACATTTTAAGCGAACCACGGCAACATACACACACTTGCTGGCCACTAAGTGTCAGTATCCACTGGCTAAAGACATATCTCCAGCACGACTGGCTGTGGTAAAGTATAATAATTTAGTCTTATTCTACGCGCAGCAAGCCACTGTATAATTTCGAAACTCTTGTTGCTCTTAATCTGAAATGATTTCCTCTACACTCCCTACAGTCTTTACACTGTGCACGCCAGGTCGCCAGGTAATCTAATGTTGTAGTACTTAAAATTAAAATTGTTGATGCTGATGAGTGTTAAAATGCTACCAGTATACATTTTAGAAGCGCATTTTATAGATAACATTGCAATAACATTTCAATGCCTAAGCTATAAACTTGAATAAAAATTATCGTTTATGTTATAAATGCTATTTTTGTTTAATAAAGTTTTTTTGTGCATATGGCCCGTATTTATGACAATGCGCAGATGTTTAGCGCAAAAATTGTTATGCCACACATGCAAATGTCACAAGAAGAAGCAAAAACAAAAACAAGTGGTAATAAAACGTGCGCATCGTAAAAATCCACGAGGCGTAATGAAGAAATTAATATAAATTTTAAATGAATAGCTGCACAGCGTTTTTAAGTGCTGCGTTATCACGAAATGGAATGGCGAGCAATTATTATTAGCGGTGTGTACGTAAACGTTATAATAAAAATGGTGTAAGGACGTTATTTATGCCTTAATTACTTTTAATTCCAGTTGAGATAAAATAACGTTTAATCGATACAAAATTTTATGGAATGCACTTATACAGAAATAATCTATCTATGCTAATTCAGGCACGTGACGAAAAAGAAATAAAAAAAAACATTGCACGTACGTATAATTTTAGCAAAGTCTTTCAAAATAACTTTTGATTAATTTCAAGTTTTCTTCAAATCCGTGTACAAATTTGTTTCTAAATTGATTTAGAAAAATTAATGATATATGAAGTAACGTACTTGGCACACATCTTATAACTTCTTCGAAATTGGAAGCTAACTAATCGCCCTTTTAAGCCCCTTAATGACGTTTAATAAATTTCAATCCGAGCGCCGCTGGTTTGCGTTACAAAATCGTGTAATTAATAGTTTTTGAACGTTAACCAGTATATGTTTTAAATCAATTCGACGTTGGAGAAAAAAGTACGTAATCCTACATGCGTTGCACTACTAGTTCGGAGAACGATCGCTTTTTTTTAGTAATAAATTATTATTTCCGAATGATATTTCTGCTTTCACTAGCCGGCGAGGTGAGCGCATGGCGCGTAGGAGGACTAAAGCGGCTTTTAATATTCCCAATAATTTATCGGAGAATTAATGAGCCAATTAAGTATATTAAGTGCTATCAATACATTTCAAAAATTATTATTAGTTAAGCAATCTTGCCTAAATATTTATTTAAATTTTTGTAAAAGTAGGTGGATTTATTTATTTCGTCTAATTTTAAATTTGCATAATCTGATTGAGGAAAAAAATCATGTGTGCAGATCACACGCGGTAGAAGAACAAGTGAACACTGCACTGAGAGAGAATCAGACGAAAATAGTTTCAGGAGGGGGATAATTATTATTTATTCATTATAATATTGGCATCAAGTGTAATAGAATATTAACTAACAAGTGGCTAAACGCATTACAGACAAGATTAATTGAGAGCGAGGGTAGCGAGCAGTTTGCCGAGATGTTCATTCTTTGTTAACCGAAATAAACGAAATTACTTTACGTTCAACGCAATCTAGTGGTTGAAAACACAAATTTTACATCAAACCAACACAATTCAAAAGTATTGTTAACAATGTGAATGCACAGTTACAAAAAAAAAAATTGTAAATATAAACCGGTGGAACGCTTCAAGGTATTGGTTAAAACGCAAAACAATTTATCTATGTAGTTCAAGAATTATGCACAAATGCAAACAATAAATGTTGAATCAAACGGAAGTCGTGAATAAATTGCCACACTCGAACAACAATAACCACCGTTCCTATATCCACGAATTTTTTCGCCGGTTAGCGACAACGCTCTAATAGCCGTCCACGATTTCTGCAAGCGATTTCGATTTGCAGCCAATCTACCTATATACTCGTACTCTCATACTACGCAAATGGCGCGGAACTCTCTGCAGCAATACGGAAAACTAGAAACGGCCGCGACCATTTCCGCAAACCCCACGGCGTTGTTCTCCACCTATTTCCAAACGCGCACGAAACTAACTATGTGTAACGAACTCAACGAGCTGCTGCTACTCGAATCTCTCGCGTTGACTACCGACAGCCACCACACACAGCCAGCCACTTGTTGTTCTCGCGTGTTACCTGCGCGCGTATAATTGTGTTAGGTAGTAAGTACTAATACGAGTAGTTCGAATCGAACACCACGGGGAGCACTTTTCAGCCTACATTCATTCAATGCGCCGCTGCTGGCCGGTTTATAATAACTATCGGCGCTATAATCCGTCGATCTAAAACTCGTACGTTGCAGCGCTATATCCAGCGTGTGAGGTATGATTGCACAACGAAATTATGACTGCAAGGTGTATTCGTATTCAGACGAGGCATTGAGGCGTAGATAAATATTTGGCCTAATTATGCTTTAATATTTCAATATTTGATGTAAAACCTCACCGGTTGATACAAACTATATATTTAGTGTGTATTATCAAACGATATCGGCCGGAACGGAACCAGTCGCTGCTGTGTAGGCTGAATTAATTAATTTTGTTATGTTTACGAGCGTTTTATGTTCGATTAAATACCGCGACGCGCGGGCTTTTTGATTTACATTCTCCAAAAACAAATAAAGCATTAACATTTTAATTTTACCCCTAATGAAATATTTAAATATTTTGATGTGTAGTTGTCCCAGCAAACAAAAGCCAAAGAGCATAAAAATAGTATCAGTCGATCTTGAGTTTTAAATAATCACCACCGACTTTATTTCATCTAAATTAATAAAATAAATGAAAATGTGAGTGTTTTGTTTGTTTGTTACGTTTTAACGCAAAAACTACGCAAAAGAATTTTGATAAATATTGAGATATAGTAATTTTCGATCAAAAATAATAAAATAAGCTACATTTTGTCACAAAACTATAACTTACAGGTTTTAAAAATAAAACATGAAAATTAATTTAAAGATTCAATCATAGTTAAAGCATTTTTTAAATCAACACGAGCAAAAACTAGTAGGTAATAAGATCGATTTGACCTGAAGTAATTTAAAAGGTTATATTGATTGCTATAAAATAATAAAGGAAGTGTACAAGGTGATAAAATCCAATAACACCATCATCCGGCAATATTTTGCTCATAGATGATGGCTCGATTAACGCAATCGTTCATCAATATTTTCTAATGGCTACTTATAGACGGTAACATCGCGTATAAATCAATCGCGGCTTTAATTATCACTTATCCATTCATTGATTATTTCGCCGCGCGCACAAACGAGCCGCTGTAATTTAAAACTGGAAACGATTCCGAAGGAACTGTTCCATTAGAACGCGCGAGCCGCGCGCAATAAGTTCGCCGACCATTAGCTCTCGGTCATCATCTTTGCGCGAGGTTGCGACAGAGTTAAATAATTTATTTGCAATCGCGGTGAATTTCCCGTTTTGCCCGGCGCACGCTGATAACCGCATCGTATTATCTCTGAAACATCTAATGTTGTTACGTGACGCAATGACGAATTGTTCGCGTATTAGTCGTACATCTAATTAGCTAGTTAATTTACAACTTTACGATTTCAAGTCTCATAATTAACGAATGTTAGTAAAATTGTCATCAGAAGATAAGTTACTGCGTGAGAGAGGTGTTGGTGTTCGAGGAAGTAAATTGAGTCGGTTTTCGACATTTTCGCG